TTCTGGAGGTCAGAAGTCCAAAATGAATCTCACTGGGGGCCCACAAGGCTTGGTTCTTTCTGGAGGCTCTAAGAAAGAATTTGTTTCCTTGCTCTTTCTAGTTTCTACTGGGAGTCTGCACTCCTTGGGTCATGATTCCTTCTACTTTTAAAGCCAACAACCGCTGATCGAGTCTTTCTCCTTCTGCTTTTGTTTTTTTAATTTTATTTTGAATTGGGTGATAGTTTACATGGGAGAACCTCAGCTCTATGTTCATCCTATTGTATTTTGTTTCATTGCAATGATTACAGTCGCCTCCATGCATCATCATTCAACAGCATTTGTTTCCATTCCCATTTTTTTTATGTGCACCAAAGCACTCAAGAATATATAACCATTCAAACAACCAAAGGGCACACCCAGCAGTCCTGCCCCTCAGCCTCCAGCACACAGCCCCTCTCCCTCCTTGAGTCCAGAGTCCCCAGCTGCTCAATCTCTCCAGGTCATCATCTCTGCCTCCATCTCTGGCATTACCGCTTCTCTGGACAGGGTCCCACACTCCACTCTTCTCCCTTGCTGGTCCCAGGGTTCTCCGCTCCTGGACTGCAAGATCAACCACTCCCCTCCTTTTGTTACAAAATGTCTAACTTTACATTTGCAACATTCACAGTCAGACCTGATAGCAATTATTCACTATTGAACCACAAGAGTTTTATCCCATCTCCTTTCACCAGCCCTATCTAGTCAAGTTGGAAACCACTCAGTGGAGATTCTACCTTCCCCTGCACCCTCTGAAACTAGGCTCCCTCTTGAAAGCTTGTAAGCCAGTCACTTCATGACTTTGTAGCCCTCCCATTTTGGGTAGCCAATGTCTGAGTTGCCCGTCCCTATCAACCCTGTGTACCGAGGGAGTGGAAATGATCCTCGCTATAAAGATTTGTTCCCTCTTTTAATCTACTACATCCAAAAGTAGCTCTGGTAGCGTAGTGGTTACAAATCGGGCTGCGAACCTTAAGGACAGTGGTTCGAAACTACCAGCTGCTCCGCGGGAGAAAGATCAGGCTTTCTACTCTCGTAAAGATTTACACCCTCGGAAACCCTGTACAGGGTCACTATGGGTCGGAACCGACTCGACGGCACTTAACAACAACAACAACATCCAAAAGTATAGGTCAAGTTCATCAGATTGTAGCAGATTACTCTTTTTTCCCTGTATTTGAATTCTGACCATCCAGCTATTGAAGCTAGGTCAAATGGGTACTATCTGCAAGTATGGGTGTTCTTGTTCATCTCCCCTCACTTCATATCACTCCCCACTCTAGTCCTCTGTGGCTATGTCCCTGTCCTTGGGCTCAGGAGTCCCCAAGTCTCGCTATACTGCTGGCCAACCAGATCTCAATTCAGGTTGACAGGAGTCTATTGAACATGATGGGACTTAGATCACAGCTTCATTGCTGTTTTTTCCCCCACTTCCCCTTATTGGTAGGCCATCGTGGTTACCAGCAAGATTACTTGCCTGCTTGTGTGTTCCCTTTGAGTTTCAGTCATGGAAGGGGGATTGCTTGCCCTGATGGCTTCCCAGAAAACAACTTGCTAGTTCTTTTCACTTGGACTGCTGTTGTTGTTTTTTATTTTTCCTGCTGGTCTTTCTTTCAACAAGTGTCTTCCTCTGTTGCTCCAGGCTTGTCTGCTTGTCTTTTCAAGTGGAAATTTCCCACCTCAGAAGATTCTGGATAGGGATAAGGATTCCACCTATGGTCTTATGCAATGCAAAGGCTCCATAGGAAGCTGCTTTCACTGGGCAAGTTCTAGCCCCATTTTAGGTATTCCAATCAGTTATAAGCTGAAGATGGACTTATTAACAGGCTTTCTATGTTGATGTTTCTGGCTATTCCTTTATCTCCCCCTCAAGTGTCTATTTTACAATAGTAGGCAAGGGAAACCAAGATTCATAAGACAGTCAAGCATCTTAACATTTCCCCTCTTTTACCCATTCAGACATGCCTCAATCTCTGTATTCCAGAGCCCTGTTGTTCCAAGGTTGAACATACATCACTGTTTACCTGTCTCAAGTAGCCCATGCAAACCTGCCTAAATGTTCTACCTTCTTCTACGATACATTGGGCGTACCCGGATAATATAGGAAAATCTCCCTATGTTAAGGTCAGCTGATTTACAATTTTAATTCCATCTGCAGCCTATTTAATTTAAACTACTCATGTTGTTGTTGTTAAGTGTCATCAAGTCGGTTCCGACTCATAGTGACCCTGTATAGGGTTTTCGAGGAGCAGCTGGTGGGTTTGAACAGCCAATCTTGTGGCTCAATCTGACGTTGCAGTCCTGCAGCGCTTCATCAGGACTCCAAACTATTCATAGTTTTTGGGAATTAGACATGGACATTTTAAACAATAATAGCTAATAAGCCCATTGCTGTTGAGTCTTTCCTGACCAAGTAGAGCTTCCCTATGGGGTTTTCAAGGCTGTAACCTTTACAGAAGCAGACTGCCACATCTTTCTTCTATTGAGTGGTGAGAGAGTTTGAAATACCAACTTTTTAGTCAGTTGTCTAGCACCTAACCAGTGTGCCACCAGTGTTACATTTGAACATCTTTAGAGGACATTATTCTGCTTACTACAGTGACCTTTTAAAAAAAATATTATGAATTCATATAACATTATTGTTGTCTTTTAATTAGTTGTTCTGGTAGCATAGTGGTTACGAATCGGGCTGCGAGCCGCAAGGTCACCAGTTCGAAACTACCAGCTGTTCGTGGGAAAAAGATGAGGCTTTTGGCTCCTGTAAAGATTTACAGCCTTGGAAACGCTGTACAGGGTTGGAACTGACTCCACAGCACATAACAACAACAAATCCTTATTGATATTTTAATTGCTCTGCTTTTGGGCAGAGGAAAAGCATATTCAAGTTGATTATTCAGTGACTTAAAAATGACCCCTGTGATTTTGGGGAGCTTTCTGTTTTGATAGGATTACATTTCTAGGCCCTCTTAATGTACAGTCCTGCTAAAGGCCTGGATTCGACCCTTTTTATAAGGCAAACTTTAATGTGATGAATTCTGATGAATTATGTAAGGGGTTTGTTAAAACAGGTTGACGGGCCCCACTTCCAGAGCTTCTGATTTCAGGTCTGGGTGGGACCCAAGAATTTGCTGGTTCTGCTGTTCCCAAGGGCTGTATGTTGAGAACCAGTGCTATAAGGGTTGCCAGTAGCTTTTGTTCGAATTGACATGTAGAGCATATAGTCTGGACACTAGAGGGAACACTAATTCTAGACTTTTCAATGGAAGGAGGGAGGAAATAACAGAAAATATAAGTTCATATTGACATTTCCAATTCAGATTTTGAATGATAAATGTTAACTTTTGTACATTTTTTAAAATGTTAGAAATCTTGATTCTTAATGACCTTCATAATTATGTAATAAATCTATACACATGCACACGCATTCAACAGTTTTAAAATAACAATACCAGCATCATTACTTACAAAATGATTACTGAAAAAAATTTTTGTAGTTCTTTTTGTCTTTAGGAAAAGACCCCATTACAATGTACTTATTACTCTGCTTTAAAGTTCTTAAAAGAATTCTTTGGTTAACCAATGAACTTGATGTACGTAGTTAGACATATTTGTTCATTTGCTTTTACTTTCTGTTTTAAGGGATTTTTAATTTCATTTAAAATGACTAATGATTTGTTACAAGGTCACATCTGTAAATAATGTAAAATGAGTTCTCTTTGTCCTTTTTATCTGTTCTAGGCAACCATCTAATTATTTTATGGTTAAATAAATGGCAGCACACCATACTGTATATGTTCAAGCCATAAGTTTGGTTTGAACCACAAGGTTGGCAGTTCAAATTTACCACCTGCTCCTTGGAAACTGGGTACAGGGTCGCTATAAGTTGGAACTGACTTGACAGCGCTTAACAACTACAAGTACTATACGTACGTTTTCCTCTTGGGTCTTTTTCTTCCCTCTGCCCTCCTCTCATTTAACAATATAATCTGGAGATAGTTTCAAAAAGCAAACCAAACCCACTGCCTTTGAGTCAATTGTGATTCACAGCGACCCGAAAGGACAGAATAGAAATGTCCTGTAGGTTTCCAAGGTTGAAAAGCTTTATGGAAGCAGACTGCCACATCTTTTTACTGTAGAACAACTAGTTGGTTTGAACTTAGGACCTATTTGTTACTTGTCAGATGCTTTAAGCACTGCACCATAGGTTTCCTCAGAGATGACTCTAGGGTAGGCAGTATGTTAGTAGAGAGAGTCCTCCATGGTGAGACCATATCATAGTTTATTCCTTTTTTGGCGGACATTTGGATTGTTTACAGCCTTTTGCTGTTACAAAAAGTGCTGCAGCGTTAGGAATACTACGTATTTGGAGGTAGTCAAAATCATACTGTATGCTGTGTGTATTCTGATTTTTCCTTAATGTTGTATAGCCTGAGTATTTTCCATGTTGCGATAAATTCTTTGTAAATGTTGTTAAGACAATTATTTTTTTCTGGTTATAAAGTTATACAGACTTATTTAGAGATTTTGGGGATACATAAAAAGAAAAAAGTAAAAATCAACTGAAAATCACCCACAATTGCAGATTTCTGTTGTTCTTTTGATACATCTCTTGTAGTCATAACACTATTTTGTGTAAACATTTAGAAAACAATCAGTATCTTTTTGCATATATAATTTGGTATCCTAGTGTGTTTTTACTCAAAATTGTGCTGTTTCCATATTATACTGTCTCTGAAATTATTTCCCTATTGTTGGATATCTAGTTTCTTGTTTTTGGTATTAAAAATAATGATACCATAAATTATCTCTGTGTAAGATTTTTGTCCGATTTCAGACAATTCTGAAAGTTGACTTTCATAAAACTTTAAATGAGAAGAAAACACATTTCGTTTGCTCTCTTAAAGCAGTAATTTGGCATGTCAAACAGGTGAGGGATTGTTTTTGTCAAGTAAATTCCATTTTCTTCCTCTCTTTTGGTGTAGGACCTTAGGAATCAGGTTGAGAAACTACGTGACGAAATGATTGAAAGAGAGAAAGTGGTGGAGAATCGTTACAAGAGTCTTTTGACTGAAAGTAATCTAAAAGCGCATAGTAGTCAAGAGCAAGAGATCGAACGCCTCACAGAAAGTCTCAATCAAAAGGACCTGTTGCTTATGGTAACCTAAGTTTTATTTATTTATTTATCTTTGTATTTACCTCTTTTGATGCAGCATGTTCCTTTTTTTTAAAAATTCTCTTTTGTGGGAACATTTATATAAAAATAAGTTATAATGATTATAATCTCCATTGCTTATGTGCTCAGCACACTCTAAAGCTTCCTTTATATGATTTTGGCTTCAGCTACTAGGAAGGTTGTTGTTGTTAAGTGGTGTAGAGTCAGTTCTGTCCCATGGCGATCCTGTGTAGGGTTACCTAGGAGCCTCTGGTGAGCTTGAACTACTGACCTTGCGGTTCAAACCGACTTTGTGGTCCAGCACATTAAACCACAATGCTACTCCAGGACTCCAGTTTGGCAAAATGAAGCTCAGTGAGGGAAAAGAACTTATCCAGGGTCTGTTTTGCTGTAGTGCACAGCCAGCTTCATGGAGGTACTTTTATTACAAGTACTAGCTATTCCATGTGTTTTTTTCTGTAACTTTTCTTTTTGTTTGATCATGTAGTGAATATTTGTGATTCAACTCAGACTTACAGATAAACATGATGGATTGATTAGAGATGCTTAACTCTGTTTCCTTCTGAAATCTCATTAAAATGACAGTGATAGAATAAAAAGACACACACATACAAAGACCAAGGGAAATTGAGATGGGAACAACAGCAAGTGCAAATTGTCAATAACATTTTAAAGTTTGCTAAATGGTTATGCAGAATCCTTGTGTGGCGCTGTGGGTTAATGCGCTAGACTGCAAAGTGTGTTTGAACCTTAAGGTTGGTTGGTTGTTCAGGCTCACCAGCTACTCCCTGGAAACCCTACACTGATTTGCTATGAGTTGGAACCGACACGATGGCACTTAACAACAACAATAACAAATGGTTGGGCAAGTAGTAAATGCATAGGATTCAGGTTTAGTGGTTGGGCAAGTAGTAACTGCGTAGGATTCAGTGTTTTTCCACTCTGCTACAAGCCTTTCCTATGAAAAGACAGGAAGCAAGCTGGTTTATGCTACAGACCCCTAGAAAGACTCAGCAGGAATTGGAGGTATGTGGTACCTTTGAAAACAGCTGATTTGACTAGATTTCTGAATCCCTTGTCTACACCAGCAGAAGATAAAATTTTCTTGAATTTACTCTCTGGAGAGTTAAAATCAGACTCTGGACTGGGTGCCACAATGTACTACCAAAAGCAGGAATGGTTTGCTTTAATGAAAACATGGGGACAAAGTGAAAATGTACACCCAGCTGTGAGATTCCTCTGTAAAAGAAGACTTAAAGCTGCTGGTGGCTGTGAATTCTCCAACACAACTAGCAGGTCCCTTGCTGATCGATCATCTTATAGTGGGGCTCACCATTAACAGGTCCTTTCTATGCTTGCAGAATTTCTGAGTACCTTTGAAAAACATTCTGTATTTGGTGGAAGTTTACATAGCACATTAGGTTCTCAGTTAACAATTTCTCTTCCTGTTGTTCAGTGACATTGTTTACATTTTCTACATTGTATCAACATTCTTATTTTTCTTTACTTGGTTGTTCCATTCCCAATAATCTAGCTTCCCTTCCCCTTTAATCTTCTCATTTTTACTTGAGGGTAAATATTATCCATTTGGGATCATGTAGGTATTTTTCTTATTTTAAAGGAACACAGCACTCATGGATGATACTGTTTATTTTATGAACCATTCTGTTATTTAGGTGAAAGGTGACCTCAGTTCAGAGTTTAAAGGATATCTTGGAGAGATAATTTGGGGGGTTCCTCTAGTCTGTACTGGTCCAGTAAGTCTGGTCTTTTTCTTTTTTTAAACTTTTTATTGTGAATTGAGTGAAGGGTCACAGAACAGATTATCAGTTCCACATTCAACAAATTATACATTTCATGTCGTTAAAATATTACTTTGCCAAATACATCGATAAGTTCTAATAATTTTCTTTGCAGCTTTTATAAGTATAGGATCACATCATCTGCAAATAGAGTTTTACTTCTTTGCCAATTTGGATGCCTTCAATTTCCTTTTCTTTGCCTTAGAGTGCTGGCTAAGATTTGGAGCACAATATTGAATAGGCGTGACGACAAAGGGCATCTTTGTCTGGTTCCTGTTTGCAAGGGGAATGACTTCAGTTCTCACCATTGGGAGTGATGTTGGCTGTTAGTTTTATATTATGCCCTTAATTATGTTGACAAATTTCCCTTCTTTCCTATTTTGTTCAGTGTTTTTCTCAGGAATGAGTGTTGAATTTTTTCAAATATCTTTTCTGTATCAATTGATATGATACTTTGATTTTTTTCCTTTGTTTTATTTATGTGGTGGATTACATTGATTGTTTTTATACTATTGAACCATCCCTACATACCTGATATGAATCCCACTTGGTCATGATGTGTTATTTTTTTGAGATACTGTAGATTCTGTTTGCTATGTTTTTTGCTTTTTTTGTTGTGAATTATGTGGTAGTCTACATGGGCGAACACCAGCCCCACATTCATCGTATCCTACTTTGCTTCGCTGCAATGATTATCATTCCCTGCATGCATTATCAACCAACCAGAGGGTACACTCTGCAAGCCTGCCCCCTGGCTGTCAACACAATGACCCTCTCCCTTCCAGAGCCCAGAGACCCCAGCCACTCCATCTCTCCATGTCATCCTCTGCCTCTATCTCTGGTGTCCCTGAGTCTCTGGACTGGGTCCCGCACTCCGCTCCTCTCCCTTGATGGTCCCAGGGATCTCTACTCCTGGACTGCAAAAGCAACCACTCCCTTCCTTTCGTTACAAAATGTCTACCTTTACATTTCCAACACTCACAGTCAGACCTGTAGCAATTATTCACTGTTGAACCACAAGAGTCTTATCCCCATCTCCTTCACCATCCCTATCCAGACAGGTTGGAAACCACTCAGTGGAGAGTCTACCTTCCACTGCACCCTCTGGAACCAGGCTCCTTCTTGAAAGCTTCTAAGCCAGTCACTTCTTGCCTTTGTAGCCTCCCCATTTTGGGTAGCCAATGTTTAAGTTGCCCATCCTTGTCAACCCTGTATACTGAGAGGGTGGTAATAATTCTCACTGTAAAGATTTATTCTCTCCATTGATCTACTACATCCACAAGCATAGGTCAAGTTCATTAAATTGTAGTGGATTACTCTTTTTTTCCTCTTCTTTCTTCCTCTAGTCGAGTTCTGATCAACTAGCCATTGAAGCCAGGTCAGTGGGTACTGTCTGCAAGTATGGATGTTCTTGTGCATCTCCCCTCACTTGCTATTAGCTGGACACTTCACTCTCCGCTCTGGCCCTCTGTGGCCATGTCCCTGTCCGTGGGCCCAGGAGTCCCTAGGTTTCGCTATACTGCTGGCCAACCATGTCTCAACCCAGGTTGACAGGAGTCTATTGAATGTAGTTGGACTTAGCTCACAATTTCATTGATTCCGCCCCCACCCCCCACTTCCCCTTATCGGTGACCAAGGTGCTCAGCAGCAACACCACATGCCTGCTTGTGTATTCCCCTTGAGTGTTAGTCTTGGAAGGGGTTTTGCCCTGAGGAGACCTGACCACTTGCCTTGATGGCTCCCAGGGGAATGACTTGCTTGTTCTTGTAATAGTCAATCAGGCTGCTATTATTGTTTTTTAATTTTCCTGCTGGTCTTCCTTTCAAGAAGTATCTTCTGTTCTTATAGTCACTCTAGGCTGTTCTGCTTGTCCTTTCAGGGGAAATTCCCTACCTCACGAGGTTCTGGATGAGGATCAGGCTTCCACCTATGGTCTTACGCAATGCAAAGGCTCCACAGGAAGCCTCCTTCACGGGCAAGTTCTAGCCCCATTTTAGGTATTCCAATCAGTTATAGGCTGAAGATGGACTTACAAGCTTTCTATGTTGATGTTTCTGGCTATTCCTTTCTCTCCCCCTCAAGTGTCTATTTTACAATAGTAGGCAAGGAAAACCAGGATTCAAAAGAGAGCCAAGCATCTTAACATTATTTCACCTCTTTGACCCATTCAAACCATGCCCCAATTCCTGTATCCCAGAGCCTTGTTCTAAGGTTGTGCATACATCATTATTTACCGTTGTCCCGCTTAGTCCATGCAGACCTGCCTAAATGTTCTCCTGTCGCCTTTGTTCTTCCATTCGTCTCTCATTTCTAGTGTTTTGCCACCCCCCCCTCCCCAGCACTCTAACTATCCTGTGTCTGTTCCCTACCCTGTGGTCCACTTTCCCCTTCCTCCCATCACTCCACCCCATACATCCCGGTAACCAGCAAAGAGTTTTTTTTTTTTTTTTCCCCTTTTAGTTGGGTACTCTGTCTTAAACTTTTACAATGATGGTCCTATGCAGTATTTCTCCTTTAGTGACTGACTAATTTCACTCAGCATAATGTTCTCAGGTTCATCCATGTGGTGGCTTGCAGCTTCCATTCATGGGCACTTAGGCTGTCTTTTTTTTTTTTTTTTTTTTTTGCTGTTGTAAATAGTGCTGCTATGAACATTGGTGTACGCATATCTACTCGTGTTATGGCTCATATTTCTTGTCATAAATACCAAGTAGAGGAATTGCTGGATCATAAGGTATATCTATTTCCAACCTTCTGAGGAAGTGCCATATTGTTTTCCAGAATGGATCATTTTGCAATCACACCAGCAATGTAGGAGGGTCCCAGTCTCTTCGCTTCCTTTCCAGCATTTATTATCCTCTACTTTTTTAATCAAGGAGCTCTGGTAGCATAGTGGTTACAAACCTTAAGGCCAGCAGTTCGAAACTACCAGCTGCTCCGTGGGAGAAAGATGAGGCGTTCTGCTCCCGTAAAGATTTACAGCCTCGGAAACCCTGTACAGGGTCGCTATGGGTCGTAACCGACTCAACGGCACTTAACAACAACAACAACAACAACTTTTTTAATCTTTGCTGTTATTACTGGTGTGAGATGATATCTCATTGTTGTTTGATGTGCATCTTTCTAATAGCTAGTGATCGTGAACATTTCTTTATATGTTTGTTGGCTGCCCGGCTCTCCT